ATTTGAACGAATTAACGTTAGAATGTACAGAATTCCTCTTTTTTCTATCGTGTGGAATCATTTCCGATTGTAACTATTATCAGGCTGTCTCAAGTTCCAAAAAGGACGACGAACCGCCGCAGAGAGACACGTAAGTGGTAGTTTCTATTGTGAAGCAAATATTTTTTGAAAAAACCGTTTCCCGTCATTTTATTTTCGTATTCTAACTATTTAGATCAAATGAATTTGTGATAGACAAAGTATACACTTACACGTATCCCGCGCACGGAACCCTCCTGCATGCCGGACACTTGACAATTTTGATCACTTGAGACTTCGCGATAGTAATGCCACAGGCCTTATTGTTAGTCTATTTATAAGAAATAAGGAAAGGAGGAGGAGGAATACGAAATTGAAGGAGAGGTGGAAGGATTTTTGAGTGGGGCTGAATTTATTGTTCAAGGAGAGGGAGGTACACGTCAGGAAACCGCTCGGTATCACTTTGTTTATTTAAAACTTTTCTTTGTGTTTTTATATGTATCATTTCGGAAATCAATCTTTTAATTTTTTAATTCCGAACAAAATGTAAAGTGATTATTTCGTCATGAATGAACAGAGCAAGACGTAAATCGATAATTGCAGTCCATATATACGTCCTATAATTGTCAGGGTGTAAAATGGGAACGATCTGCTTCTTTTCTCGAGACTCGTTCGTCCTTTTAATTCAAGTTCCTTCTACGAGAAGATTATCCGTCGGGACGGATTGATCCATCTTAAATTGAGAACCTGTCTCGGATTTCGCCGTCGGGCGAGCAACCGCGAACGAGTTTAAGTCGTGGAATAAGTAGCTTAAAGGAAGCGCGGGGTGAATCCGATCTCGCTTTCGACAAGTTCCAAATCGACCGGCTGAGTTTTATCCTGACGAGTTTTATCGCGTGCTCATCTCGGTACTTAGTAAATATACTTGCGAACGTTTTAATCGGATTATGGAAGGAAGCATATTTCCTCAATAAAACACGCATTTCATCGACAATTTTA